CCCCCCCCAATCGTCGTTTGAAACGTACCTGATTGCCGAATATGTTGTTCTGGATGTCGGTGAGGTTCTGATAATCGCTGTAGATGCTCCGTTGCGTGTAAAGATGGGGCAGGTTGTCGGGATTGGGGGTGATGGCGCGCCTGGCAGTGCTGTTGACGGACGGCTTTTCCGGACTAGGCGTGACGGAACGGCGGACGCTGTTCTTCGGAGACGTCTTCAGGCCGTTCCCGTTCGGGAAAGGGATTACGGTCTTCGGGGCGTTCTCGGTATTGACGGGGGTCCCAGCCGGCGTCGCGTACAGCAACAGCAGGGGCTGATAACGACCCCTCCTACACTTCTCCACGACCTGCTCCCACCGGGGCCCGATCTCCTTCACGGTCGCGTCGTCGAAGTAGATCCATACCTGGGCGACGGTTTTTCCCGAATGATTATTTCATCGAATCGCAACGATCGAAGATTATACCGGTCGATCCGTGAAATCGGCCTGAACACTGACCTTTAGCTTCGTGTGAAAGAAGAAGGTGGAGTAGTGTTTCCCGTAATAGGTGACCACTCCCACGAGATTATGCACGGTGGAGGCGCCCCATCGGGAGTCCACGACGCTGTGGAAGACGTCGCTCAGACGGAGGGACGTGCCCACGGTCGCGAAAACGTCCATGATGTGCTCCAACGACGGCCGCTCGCTGTCCCAGACGACGCCGACGGAAACTATCTCCGGCCGGTTCATCAGGGTCCGGCATATTTGGATCTTCGCCCCGCAGGAACTCTGCGAACGAAACGAAGGGAAATTGATTTCCGTAACACCATGTCATCATTCATTTCGAGTCGAAGTTTGAATTCCACATTAACACGTTCGCTGCTACCTCCTCGGGCATAGTTGGTTCTTCGAAGCCACCAGACATGCTCTCCGCTTTATTCACAAGCCAAGGGTCCAAATTAATGTACTTGTACTACGGATTAACTCGTGCTTGGCGTGGGAGGTCGGTAATCGATATACGAGTATTCCCGTAGTTGGCAGCGAACGTGTTAACACGTGAGTTCTATTTAACTCGCGCTCTTTCGATGCTACAAACGGAAAGTTAATTTGCGTTTTCTCCACTCGAAGGGATTTAATGCGGAATGTAAAATTCCTCCCCCCCCCCCCTTGGAGGCCTAAATTCCCTTCGCAGCATCCAAGGGACATTAACGGGAAGTTATTTCCATTTTCTCCGCGTGAAAACTCAATGTAGGATCCAAATTTCACCTCGGGATTTGTCACAGTCGGAACGTTAGTTCCGGGATCACGGATTCCGATCGATCTCGGAGGAAAGTCTCGACATCGTCGGGCGGGAATTCGTAAGAGGAAAAATTCTGGAGATCGCGCGCGGCTGAGTCAGCGCGGTTCTGTGAGTCACCGGTCTCTCCCTCGGATCGTAAAGCTGTAAAATCCTCGGACGCCCGGCCGAAGTTTTGCGAAATAACCTGTGCGATTCAGCCTTACTTACCGGACAGTCGCGGATGTCGCCCATCCCGCCGGCTCTTCGGAGAAGTTGTCCGAAGAGATCCGGGCTGTTTCGCGAGCTTGACGACGTTTGGCGAGCCTGAGACGTCAATGCCGACGCGGACACGTAGTGCACCATCTGCGAACAGAACGAACGTTGGTTGAGACACGTTTGGACCGAGTGAATTCATCAAGGGAGTCTCAGAATTCGTGTTCCACGAATTCGAAGACTCAGGTTAACGTCCGTAGGTCGAAAGCCAAGGCTGCCTCGTGGAAGTTCACACTTCTTTGCATCTTGGCGAGCGGGAGGCGGTAAAAGCTATCGGCCATGACCGATGCATAACAGCAACTAGTTTCATGCTTTTTACGGTTCGCCGGCCAACGATGCCCGATGCGAGCACGCCAAGGGAAACCAATTCCACCCACGGGATGCTGTATACGGATGCGTATATAATATTACGCCACCCTTTCCGTCGCGCGATCATCGCGACGAGTTCCGGTTTTAAGTCGACCGGACGGGGGGCTCATCGTCGTTTCCACGAATTTCCAGACGAACTATTAATCTGTCGGCGAGTCGCAAGAAACGTATCTTCATGATTATTGTATTAACGGCAGGCGCGGCACAATTATGCGGATACAATAGATAATTTTTACACCGTCACACGATTATATAATTCTTATGTAACGGTGAAATTACACGGTCTATTAACGGTCCCATTCTTTTCCTTTCAAAAGCGGAATACCTCCGCTTCTTTCCCTCGCGATTTTTATGCGGTTGGATTTTTCTTTGATCCTCGGACGACCGGTAGGCGACAACAGACGGCTTATAACGACTGTAGACGGTCGGAGAAGTGGCGCCACTTTGATAATTATTTAAGAACTTCACCGTTCGCCCCACCCGAACGATTCTTCCCCGTGGAAGCTGCAGTCCAGAATACAATTTGCATTACAGAAATAGTCACGGCGACCCTCAGTCCCGAGGATTATCCATTGTAATTTACGCTTCTAAATCCGCCAAGGCTCATTCTTCCCACATAAAAAGGACCGAATCTCCAAGAAGGACGCAAGCTACAAGCCTCCTGCGAAGGTTATAGTACTACGAAAGTTATAGTGCTACGAAAGTTATAGTGCTACCAATTGTGTAGGATTTCGGCAGACCCACGTTCAAACAAAAATATTTTTAAGCCAAGAAAGGACGTAGATAAAATCGGCCCGGTTTCCTGGCGTCGGCTCTACCTGGCATCGGTTCTACTTGGCGTCGGTTCTACCTGGCGTCGGTTCTACCTGGCGTCGGTTCTACCTGGCGTCGGTTCTACCTGGCGCGAGCGAAAAAATGGCGCGACGATTCCTGCCCGGGGATTCGTCTGAACTCTAATGATTCGTGGCGTTTCGTTTCGCAAACGAGACTGCTTTGTTCTACCATTGTGAACACGTTTACAAAACTCGTGTTATGGGCACAGGTAGGTCTACAAGCTCGGGTTAATCTCGCACACTTTTAAGTAACAAATATACATACCGAGAAAAAATACTTAAAAACTTATCGATGGTATGTAAGGCTTATTTCTGTGAAATGAGATTCACTTCTGTGTAAAAATAAACCTTGTATCCCGCAAGTAAGTTTTTCAATATATTTTCTTACTAAATTGTACGCAAAAATTACGTGGCAAGAAGCAAGAAGCGTGAGGGATAATCAATGTTTCGTAAAACGGAGAAAGAGAGAGAGAGAGAGAGAGAGAGAAAGCGTTATTTAATATACGCTTCGGATCGGTTACAAAGCGCTTCAATACAATATAAGGATTATTCTTGAAGAATAATATGCATGAAACCGAAATAGAAATGAAATTAATGAAATAAGGAAAAGTAAGTTGGAATTATAGAAAAGAGAGCAATGCGAAAGGCAGAATGAAAAGTTCGTCGCGAAATGTCATTGACGAAGAGACATAAGTAGAGAGAAAGATAGAGCGAAAGAGAGAGAGACAGAGATAGAGAAAGGCAGCATTTGCTTTTTCCAGACTCAGCCTTCCGCCTGCGCGCGACTAAGCAGCGTATGTACGTGCAACGCACGGGCAAATGGCACGGTATATTAATTACACGAACTTGTGTAAAAGGCAGCGGCTCCGAAGTTGCGCCGCAAGCCCCGCAGACGCTTTGCTCGACGAGCGTCATAGCGAACTTCTGATGCGGCACACAATGCCTCGCGCTGCACATATCCTCGGCCTCGCCGCTGGCGATATGTAGGTGTATGCGTAAGAGGATGTTTTCCTGAAATTGAAAATTGCCCGTTAGCCTGCACACGCGCTCCCTATTGTTTGCTGGGGCCGCTCGCAGCTGCTCGGCAAGGCCGGTTTCAGTCAACAGGAATACGCCTGTCGTCGGCATTTCGTCGTGATCCCGGGAGGAAGTAAGTCGCACTTTTCTAGCGATGAGAAAATAAGAAGCGGAGGAAGGAGGGAAACCCGAGTCGTCGTCGACTCCGGTAAAGCGGTTGGCGCGCGATGGAAACACGGCGAGTCTCTCGCCGGATGAAAGCGCCGCGCTCGAGAGTGCTCCGGGAATAACGGTACGCTATGGTAGCACTACTGTCCTTGCGTCCATTGTACGTTCTCCCGGTACGTGCGTAAACGTGTGCGCGTTTATTACAGCGAGTACCAGCGCTCGCATCGATATTATTCGCCGAGCAGTGTCGACACACGCGCGGACACACCGGCGTCCAACGTGACTGTTGTGTAAACGAGAAAGTAGTATCCCGGCGGTATTCGCAAGGCTCAGCCTCAAGATCGTTATTGCCGGTCCGATCTCTGTAACTAGTCATCGTTAAGAGCGCTCTCGAGATCGGCTGCGAGATATATCGCAATGACGAAAAACCGGAGTCTCAGCCTCGGGCGGACGTCCTCCGGTAAGAGGATTCGATTGAATTCCGCCACATTCGTCGGTCTTCCCCCGAAGGGTGGTAACCCTCCGGCTCTGTCGAGACCCGTCGTTAAATCCCCGTCGTCGACGGAAAAGCGAGGCTTCCCCCCGTTGCGACAGAATCCGAGCGTATCCTTCGAGCTCCTCCGACGGAGACGTCGCTGATCGTTCGGCGTTTCGCGCAATGACGCACAGAGAAATTTCGTCGGATTTAGTCGAATCGAACTGAATTCTTGTCAGTCTGAAATCTGACTGTGGGCGAGCAAATTTTTTTCGCTATAAGAACCAAGGTTTGGTTCTCCGAGCCAAAGGTTCGGTGTTCTTCGCAACCCCGGAAAGTTCAGAGAAGCAAATCTTCGGCTTAGACAAGCAAACTTTGGTTATTATAAGCAAAAAATATATTCGCCCGTGGTCAAACAAGAATTCCGTCGATTCGACTAAACGGGTTCTCAGAGCGCGTGAACCAATCACAGTTCAATCGCGAGAACCGCGAGGAGTGCCGTAAAAAGCGTCGTTTCAGCAATTGGGGAGGCGATCGTCCGCGAGGATAAAAAAGGGCGCCTCGGGGACGGTCGGTTCGCGCGCTTGATCGATTGCCAATACGCGGATTGCGTTATGCGTATCGATATCTCGGGCAATCCGAAGTAATGGCAGCGGCCGGAGCGGTTTGGCACTTACGAAACATTCCGCAGCGTCGTCCATCAAGCCGAGCTGGAACCTCTGCTGATCGAGAAAGCTCTCGGCGAGCGCGCGGCGCAACGTGTCGGGCGGCAGTGCGCTCTCTTGCGAAAACTGCAGCTGCGAGAACAGGTCCTGAAACGAGACAATGCGACGAGGATTTAATGCGGGAGTCACCGAGGGAGATCGCCGAGAAGCGGACGCCTCGCTGGCGTTGGCTGACGTCGCCGACGAGAGGCATCGCGAAACGCAAATAAATACGGTCTCGCGAGCGAACAGGTGCGGATTCTACCGCGGAACTCGGCTCGGCAGAGTCAACGGGCGGAATAAATTTTCATCGTATTACGGAAGACAGAGGAGCTTTCGTCTAGCGAGCGCTCACACTTCCGAGCACGCCGCGACTTCACAACGCTGCGTGATGCTGCCGACGCGCGCACACGCACACATATATCGGGGGAAAACAAGGATATTGGAACATTTATTTGCGGAACGGAAGTTTACTTCGTAATAGTAGATTGTATTTCTATGAAACAAACTTCGTCTCTCCGTAGAAACCGATTTTATATCACCGCAGATAAATTTGTAAGTAATCTTTTCTCAGCGCAAAAAAAGAAAAAAATGCCAGATTCAGGTAAATAATTATTCCAATATTCCTTAGCGAATTTTGATCTGAGCCAAGTAATACTTACCTAAATTAGGTGAAATACTTTCCAAGTACATTATCTAAGTGAAATATTTGCTTGAGGTAAAATTCACTTGTTTCGAGTGAACATTTTCTAAGAAATATCGGAGTAATTATTTACTTAAATCTGATACCTTTTCCTATATATTATCGTATATATAAGAATATATAATCTTATATGAAAACAAAACCTACACGACGAAAGTTTATGCAGCTCTATTAAAAATATAATTCTTGTTACCCAAGAATGACATTTGCGAATTGGGGGGAAAAAATATTGAATAAAAAGAACGGTATCTTCAAATTAATACAATTCTTAGTTTGAAGATATCGTTCTTTCTAACCAACCTTTCTTCCCCCTCAAATCATGCAAATTATACTTGAATAACAAAAGTACGATATTTTTGATAGAATTATATAGAATTTCCTTTAGTTTTCATATAAATAAGTCTTATCTTCATATAAGACAATACAATCTTGCTTATATATGAGAATATAAGTCTTGAGTGTCACTCCTCTGCGCGGCAAGAAGAATAATTCTCGCAGACGCGGGGATTTGGATCCGCCGTCATCGGCATTACGGAAAAGATGTCTCGGCTCGGATGCATCGATTAAATACCGAAGATCGCGAAAACGTCGGTATCGTGCATAAACAACCCCGCTCGGCAATTCCAGTCGCTCCGACGAGCGCGGCGGCCGCAGTTTCTGCGAGTGCCGGACGAACAAACGAGGAGAGGAAGTCGGAATTTTCTCGCACGCCGGCCTTTACGCGAGCTCTTACGTCAGCGCCGATAAAACCGTTGGTTCCGCGATTAAAATCGCGGACGCAATCGCGGCTGAGCCGCGTCGCTCCGCTTCTTCTTTCGTTCCCCTGATCAACATATCCGCGAGATAATCGGACGGTGCATAGGTAATTTCGCGAGGCGAGCCCGGGCGATTTCGCAACGAGCGGGCGAAAGCCCTCGGCGAGCAGTGCGGGGACATCGACCACGCGTTACCTCGATTTTTGTGACCCGCGTCGCCGTGTGCCACCGTGACGCACAGCGGAGGTCAGATGGAAGTGCCGGCGTCGTAATTCGCGACCTATCGCCGGCAGACGGGCTTTTGCAACCGATCCTGCCGGCGGGTCGTCGAGCAGCGGTCGCGTGTTGAAGAAAGTCGCTTCCAAGCGCTTGCTTAATACGCCGCGTTTCGAGAATATCCGGCAAAAGCGCAAGCAGGAGGAGCGCGGGTCGAAGAGTAACGCAACGTTATTCGTAAGTTGCGCGAGTTTCTGTTTCTTTTTTTTCGGGGGGGAACTTCACGCTGAAGAAACCCAGGCATATGCGAAGCACGACGATTCGTGCGATCGATTAATGCCGCCGATAAGAAGGCGGATTGAATTTCCTACGGGTTCCACGACGAATGCGGATGTTTCGGCGCGGGATTCGCGCCAGTCACGTCTGTCGCTGATCGAGCCGGCGCGACTCCGCGTCGATCCGCGTGTCCAGCGAAATTTCTCAATGAAAGTCGCTGTATGTCGTGCAACTCGCCGGTATCGGCGAGACGGTAGTGACAGATGCGCTGCGTACGCCACGTCGGGCGTAGGAGCGATCATAGTAACGGTGCGTCCACGTGCGTCGGAAAGAGAAGGACGCGCCACCTGTTCGCGGCGGCAGGTCCGCCGGCTGGCGAAGAAGAAAGCAGCCGGCTTTGGCGGCTGAAAGCGCGTCCGGGCGAGATCGTTGAATGAAATCGGCGCTCGTTTGCGCTCACACATCGAGTCCACCGCGATTTCACGAAGCGACTACGATCGTTTCGCGTGTGCGATAATACGTAGACTTTAACTCGTACGTATTATATTTGAATGTCCCTCGTATGTCGACGCGCGCGCCTTTCGTGGAGAGAGTAACTCCGCCCGCGTTTTTCGAGGCTTTCACACACACCTGCGCTCCCTCGAGGCCCGGAGCCCGCGATAATTTCAGAGAAAACCGAGCCCGCCCGTGGATTGTCTTAACGCGGGACAGCTCTAACGATTAAATTCGTTATCGGTAATTTATCGCAGGAATTGGATTAATTAACGGAGCGACCCTACGATGCGGAATCGGTGGGCGAATGAATAATTTTCGCCGCTTTTCGCGTGAAAAGTCAACACCGGCGCGATGTGAATGAACGAAGCGAGTAATGAAGCGAAAGGTCGTACTTTTTTCAAGTCGCTCAGCTCATTATTGGCCACCGTGTCTTCTCTCTCCATCCCGCTGTCCTCCTCCTCTTCTCTGCCGTCAACTTCCGCCTCGGGTCTCGCCTCGTCGGCCTTGATTTCCCGATGAACTACGACCGCCGGTGTCGGCGTCTTCGGCACGGCCGTCGACGCCGCGTTCTGACGTACTTTCATCCACTTCAACATTTTGCCATCCCCCGCGGAATCACAGGCGTTTCATCCTCGTCGTTTCGCCGCTCGCGGTTATCTCGGTGCGTTCGGAACGGGCGAATCCCCGAAGTCAGGACGAAAGCATCGCGCTGAATAAACCGAACGGTTGTCCGGCGCGAAACCGGTTGAAAACAAATACGAATTTCCCGGCGGGAAACTCCCCCCGTGGCGGATCCTCGGGCCAGTGCTGTTTGCAGTGTCCACACGCGGTACACACGCGATACGCACACGCTCTCGCTCGATAATTTCATTCATTTGCTCTTCAACCTCGCGACCCAGCCTCCTTTGGTACCTCGTCGATCTTCATCCTTTTCAGGCAGTGGCGTGCATCGTCGTATCTACCATCTGCCGCGCTCCGTTCAGCCCGATCTCGCTCGAACCGTCGAAATTTGGGCCGACGACCGCTTCGTACCGCGCGACCTCTCCGTCCCTCTCTGTCTCTTCTATCTCCGAAACGTCTCTCTTCTTTCTTGCTCCTCTTCAAGCTCGGACGGTGTCGTAATAGACGCCGGCGACGTTATTTCGCGCGACTCCGCGGCTTTTGAGTAATAACACTCTCCGCCGCAGTCACCGCATCAGATAATCGAGAGAGTGTTTAAGCACATAAACCGGGAGGGAGGGGGGAGGCAGAGAGTGAAGAGGAAAGAGGAGGTTGACGATGAGCAAGCAGTTATATCTCAAGCGAGAGTCTCGAGGCGGATGCTTCTTCATATAGCATGGAAGAAGAATCGTACGCCAGCGAGAGCCGGATAGGCCGGCGGGAGAACCCCGGTTGGAGAATCGAGCGGACTCGATTGAAAGCTTAAGGACTCGTTCAGCCGGCGAAGTAACCTCATCGATTAGCGAACTTCGCGTTTAGTAGGACAGGCGCAAGAAGAATCGATTACGATCCTCCCGTCAAGGTCCTCGGCGATCCCGCGGCGACATCCCCGACCGAGGGAGAGAACTCGTTCGGACGACCAGTCGAGAGCGATCGCAAAAAGAGAGAGAGAGAGAGAGAACTCGCCTGGAAGATCTCCAACGTTCGCTGGATATTTACGAGGACTGTACCAGCGTTTTCCGCAGGTCGTAGATCAGGGAGCAACGGTTCCTCTCCCCGTAAATCCCTGGTGGGAAGCCTCCCCCCCCCTCCCAGCGGAGGGAATCGTTCCGGGGGATGTTAACGATTGCGGTCGAATGTTCACTCCGGCGGTTCGTTCCACTTCGAGGTACCATGTGCGCCTCTCGCAACCGTCTCGCAACGTTAGCTTCTCAGAGTGAAGAAGCGCGACCTTCCGCCGCCACGGTCGCCGTTCCGCTACATCTTCTCGTTCGGATGTTCAATGAAGACCCGAAGAAGCGTCGCTCGCCGTGTATATTCACTCTCTCCACCATCGTCGTCGAACTACACGCTGGGCGTGTGCACTCCTCCCGAAAAGACACCGTGTCACATCGGAACCCCGGAGATCCGCTCGCGATCTTCCTCCCCGTGAACTTCCTCCAGCGCACTTCCGGGTCGTAGGGAAGAGACGAGAGAGCGTTCCCTCGGCGCTCCGGCCGAAAGCGCGGAGAAACGTGAACGGAGGAAGAGAACTACCTGCACGCGGCACCGTGCGCCCGTACCTGAAGCCAGCGACTCCGCGGCGTGTGCTGGCGAACACCCCCACCCTCCTCCCGGCTCTCTTCCTCTTCTTTCTATGGGGCCGCGGCACGGTACCCCTTCTCGCTCCATCCGGCGCTCCGATAGATCCAAGAAGCCAATGACGTCACCCGTTTAGCTGTCCTACGTTCACCTACCTACCTGAGAGAGCGGCCCAGGCAGGCCCAGGACCGTAACTCCGGGCTGTAACCTCGGCCGTAACTTTCGGGCCGAATTTCGACGGAAAACCAACCCGGATCGACGTCACTGCGGAATCCTCCCCCCCCCCCC